ACTAAATAATTTCTCCAATAACAATCATATATCCCTGTCTGTTCTGAACATGAAGAGTCTGCCTCCCTGATTGCTTCCTCTCTCAATGAGGGGGCAGGTCAAAAGGAGTCAAGCTACCTCCTTCACTGTAGCCTGCCACTTCAAAGACAGGCTGCCTACAGGAATTATGACTTTTGAAATGTTCCACAGTAGACCGACTTAATATTGGTAAAAAGAAATACACAGATATGTTGTGTTTTATTTACTGATAGAAGGGAGGGGAGGTTCTATAATCACCAGCAATAATCTCTGTAATCTGTAGTCTGGGAACAACTCACCATTACTGAAGACATCTGCCATCGATTTTACACACAGATAAACAAATGGCAAGTTGTAAATCTATATCTTGTTTACAAAAATTAAAATCTGTAATATTTTTTGCAACTTTCTTAAATAATTTCTTTAAAAATTCAAACCATTGGACTGTCACATATGGACACCCACATTTTCATTTTTTAGTCAATACAAAAAAATAAAACATCCCAATAAATTCCATTAAGCCTTTTTTAAGTCCTGTGAGTTAAATGTAAGGAATTTTCCTGATAATTTAGTTAGATAAGCAAGATGGAAAGGGAATAAATGTCTGCCTCATACATCATAGGACTTTTATAATCTGAGATGTATCTTTGTCAGTCAGAGCAAGAAAAACAACATTCTGGCAACTCTTGCATGGCATTCAAAAAGCAACTGTTCTCAATAAAGCTTTATCACCAATTTCAATCTTTGAATTTCATTCTAATAAGCATTTAAACATTCAGAACTGATACTTTAAAAGTGCCAATGCTAAAAAATCTTTAAACTGAAAAAAATGAATTAAAAAATCTAGCAGTGTTTGGATCATATTTCTTGGAAACCTTATATTCATGTATGAAACATCTTTTGAGTCACGGGTTCTAAAGGTTTAAGAGATTATAATGAGTTTAACAAACTATTGTCACCTCTCTTAATGCACTAGTCTTATGTTTCAGAGAACATGTTTGTGATTTATGTGTATAAACAGAATTTTTTTCAGTCAAGTGGTGAAATATTATCCTCTACTCAGTAAAACAGACAAGGTAGATCAAAGCCTAACCCTAAGATGACTCCAGTGAATACAAATCTCTACCCTACACACCCAAACACTCCATGTAACAAGAAACCTGCACACACGAGAATTGGTTGACCAGATGACACATTTTAAAATTTTTGGATAAGAACCAAATAACCTTCTCAGATTAACGGAGTTAATACAATTTCTAAAATAACTCAGGATTGATTGCCAAGATAAAATACATCTTAACCAGCCTGAGCCGAGAAAAGCGGTAACTGTAACAGTATTCCTTCTTAAACCTACTTCACTTGTCCTCAAAAGCAGTCTTAATTAAACAGAGCTCAAAGGAACCGGCATCACATGCTAATATACTCTTGGCTGAAACAAAAAAAGGATATAGAACTGCAATGGAGTTCTAATAAATCCTCTCTATACTAACTAACCTTGCTGGGTGAACCCCCTTTGACTTTGTCCTCAGGAACACCACTAGACACAGTCCCATTTACTGCATGAGAATGGACAGAGTGTGTCCCATGTTGTGTGGGGCCACTCACAGAAGTATGAGGGTGGTGCTGGGTGGAGCCACTCACAGATGAGTGTGGATGGTGCTGAGAAGAGCCAGACACAGAAGAGTGTGAGTGGTGCTGTATCGGTCCACTCCGTGTTGTGGTGTCTGTCACGCTGTGATCCCTTGCTCCTGGCACCACATCAGATGGCTCCATGGATTGTTTGGGTACAAAAGGGGATTCTGTCAGACTTGAGGATCTGGAATCTGACATACTGCCTGATCTTGAACTAGAAGTGGAGTTTGGTGGTCTCTTTGATCCATGGCTTTCTACTCTGGTAGAGGTGGGCCCTGTTTCAGTTTTGGACGAGCTGGACCTTCTTTGTCCAGTGGAATCCCCTTTGGCAGAGGAGGAAGATGAAAGTTTTCTTCTTGACTCTGAAAAAGACTCAGATTTTTGTACTGGTCTTGTTTGCTTGCCATTTGACATACTCTGGAACACATTTCTTGAGTTAATAAATGAGTCCGATTTCTTCACAGGTTGCCTGGCTTTCCCGTTTTCAGATGACTTCCCTGTAGTCCCCTCTGTTCCGTTTGCTGATTTGCCAGTAGGACTTGTAGGGGACTTTGGATGACTGGCCCCTCCTGCATGGCCCCCACTGTTTAAATGGATTCTTGGGTGACTGATACCTCCTGTTGGTCCCCCAGTAGGGGGCCTTTGGTGGCTACTGCTTCCAGCTTGTCCCCCAGAGGTTGAGGTGGGTCTTGTATTACTGGTGTCCCCTGACTGTCCCTCAGACCCTGAGACTTTGACAGAAGAAACTGACGTGTAAGTCCCCGGCTTTCTCCGTGGAATCATAATGACTTGTTTACAGAGGAAACACAAGTGTAATATGTAGAGTTCAAGTGTGACATAAAGTAGATGTGTATGTCGTTAATTCAAATTAGACCACCATGTTCCGTAAAACTAATATAACCATTCAGGTGTGCACAGGTGCTGTGATAAAATCAACATGACAAGCCAGTCACAAAAACATAAGATTAGATGGTGACCCAAAGTCCAGATCTATACAGGTACAGAATATATCCGTCATAAACCTTGATGACCCATTAACACTTCCTAACTGATGATATAAACGGTAATGTCCAAACACACAGGGCCCTGGAAGCTAGTCTATCTCAGTCCACGGTTTAGGTCCGGATATCAAGCCAACATTTATCATCAGTCCCACACTCTGCAAACAGATGACAACTTTTACTGTGTATATTTAATCTGATACACTTAACCCCGGCATTTAAACTTTTTGTAAGACGGCCATTCACAGCTCCGAGCCAGTGTGATTTCACATTGAACAATCCCTGATAATAAGTCGAAAAGACTGTGATCTAATTAAGTGTGCAGTCAATCTGTCACTCAAGTCGTATATCTAGATAGATACGAAAAGTCTAATGAGGTCCAGATCAGTGATGGAGAACTCTGAAAACAACACAGGTATCATTCAGTGTCAAACCCCAGCGACTCACATCCAAACTGTGTAACACAAAACCCGCTGCATGACACTCACTGCTGTGGTGTACCCATCATTCACTGTGCCTGGCTGGGGTAGGATTTGTCTCGGTCATTAACAGGAGTCATGTTGATGCATCCCTCCCCCTCTGGTCTTACGTTTAGGATAAGTGACCGTATGCTTGCTGACCTGACACTAATTTGGTCCACTCGCCATACAAGGTCCCATCAAGAGCATTTCAAGCCCAACTTATGAATAATGCAGGTGATTTGTATTTGAATGAGAGAGCTCAGCCAACAAGGATAATTTGTATGATGGGGTCTTCAATTCAATTAATGTGGGGAATTCTTTATTAAGTATATACACTTACAAGTCTTTGCTTGTGAAGATTTGACTTTGTTTATTTCATGTAAACGTTCTAATATCTCGCATCTGAGATTTTTTAATGCTTAAAAAATTCTGTTAATAACAATAAAAGATGAGTCACTCTTTCCTACTGCCTTTGGCAAGTCTGATTCTTTTACCTGACATATGTAAAAAGTCTGAGGTTTTATAATGCCATAACTTTCTTGTCTTGTAATACCTGTCTCATAACCCACTGTCTAAAAGGCTGAATCAGAAAGACCACTAAGCCATCTATACCAACCATCCACACATCAATTTATATTTAAACTATCACTTTCAACCTTATCAAATTTTCATTCAAGTGTAAAATTTAATCCTCCTAAATTTGGTGATCATTTATCCTCTGACCTCGCAAGTTGTGGTATACATGTCAGAGTAAGCTCCCTTTTCAGAGAAAGCTATCCTGGACAATACTCAGATTAAACATCCTCAGACACCTACAGGTGATCTCGTCCTTTACTCATCACTCAGATACTGTATCTAAAAATAATCTCTGCCAAGTCATGGCTCATTTACGATCTGACAAAATTTAATTTTAAATCAAAGTTCACAGTGCTCCCTAAATAATCATCAGATTTTGTGTGTGTGGAATGATGGATTAGGTTACATTCCAAGTTCATCTCTAGCTTCCACTGACTTCAGGACAACAGAGAAATTAATTAAAATATTATACCTTTAAAGCAAGAAACATCATATATCCTCAAGATTTATCTAAAATGTAAACATTTCTGTGTAAATACTGCTACTTCATTTACATAAAAGGCCACAAAAACAAACTTTGTAGTGAAATTGAATGATATATTATATTTTAAAAATTCCATTTTTAAATTGTGAGCAAAATGCAGACAAACCTAAAGAAGATAAAAATGCATATTTTTGTGGATATTCTCTTAGCAACTCTCTCTTTCTTAATTAAAACTATGTTTCCTTATTTTCCTATAAGGACATTCTACAACAGTACAGGGAAGTTCCCTGTCATGTAAAACAATGCACTAGAATCAATTAACTATCAAAAGAACAAAGGAAACAAATAAACCATCAAACAAATCTCAATATAAAAGGTCACTTTTACTTGGTTTAGTATAAACACTTTTAAATAACTGGATCCCCCCTCTAGATCCATCCATGCAGGGGGAAGCGGAAGGGGGGAGAGGGGTATCATAAATGGTCCAGTTAAGATGATTAAAAACTAGATTATCCCTTAACATCAACACCACAGTTAAACTTATAAACTTATTAATAAATATCTTAAATCTAAATCTCTCGAGTCTCCCACTTATTTAATGGAACTTTGACACATTGCATTGTGCAAAATATATTAAAAGATATACTGACACGATTGCATTCCCCTCATACAAGCTAATGTATGGTCACTTAGACATGTTAAAAGCATTTTTTCTGAATCTGAATTAACAAAAGGCATGTCACAATTAAACTGCTGTAGGAATCTTTCCATTAATGATTTGTGTCATGGCACTAAATATTACCATCAGATATTTAATCTTGAACCACTGAGCACACACCAAAATTATTACATATACCCACACAGTCATCTTGTGGGGTCCTTGAGATAATATACTGAAGTGGTCAATGCAGAGGGTTTGGTCACTGTTGATAAGCCATTTGAGTTAAAAGCATTCTGGAGGACTTTAGCACTTTTATAACCAATAATGAGAGCAATACACCAGCAATTCTTATCAAGCATGTATCCAGTAATGTAAAATTTACAAGACCAGAATTTCAATGACATTCCTCAAAAGAAAATGAGTAAAGATAACATTATAATGGTGACAAACTGCCTTCTCTTTTCCAGCTCTTTAAACTCAATGTCATTTTAATCCTCATAAAATATGAGAGCGTGCATCAAATTTCACAGTTCCTCCATTTGTTATTTGACTCATCTAATAGACATGGATTACTAACTCAGTTTTTTAATAATACCCCTGCCTAACCCCATCTCTTTCCCTTTAGCATGCCTAATTACTATGTACATGGTACACAATGATATTATCCCATCACACAAAATTCAGGAAATATGAGAATCTTAATGTTTTTGAAAGCTTTCATCATGTTGAAATAGGCATAATCTAGCTCCTCATTTTCAAACAACTGTAAACCATAATGGTCTTTAGTTGAATCCATGAATTATAGGAACAAAATGTAGATTTCACACTTTTACTGTGAAGGACCTTGAACTTGCTCTACTAACCTTGGGTCAGTCCATCAAAAATAAACTTATATTTCTCTATCACAAGATATGGCTATGGGGAAAATATATTTTTCTTAAAGTGACCTTAAAAACTTGTTAAAACAACCTGGCTCAAGAACATGACAACTTGCTAAAACAACCTGGCTCAATAAAATGACCTTAAACCTGCTAAAACAGTTTCTAGTTACATTCCACTTTCCATGTTATGTTAGCAAGGTTATGAACAAAACACTCTTGATGCATTATGCTCCTTGGGTTTTTCTTCATTACAATGTTATGGCTTAGACACACTAGCTTGGACAGCTGGACAGACAAGTGGACAAAGTGACAGCTGATAATTTATGGTCTCATTCATTTTTAGACCTGTACTGGTATCTCAGTGGAGTGCTGCCTAACTCTGTGAACAGAAGGTTGTGAGTTCAAATCTCGGCCTCAACTAAGTATCTATGTCGATAAAAAATGTTTATCAACTGTTCCTTCGCCATGCGCTCATCACTTTTAGGTGAAAGCTACGGGTCCTTTTCAGATGAAACCTTAGAAACTGAGGCCGGGTGTCACATCAGATGTTGGCACGCTAAAGATCCCTCACTGCCCAATGGCCAAGAGTGCTCAGTAAAGGTCAAAATGTGAAGTCCTTCAATGGTATACGATGACTCTATACGAGTGAAAAATTCTCGAATGGGACGTAAAACAGCATGCAATCAATCAATTCATCAATTATTATATGGTTCAACAATTATTATAAGGTTTTAATTTATGATAAATCCACAGTTTTAATAATTATACAGTATACCCTTATCATAAAAAGGAAAGATTAAAAAGAAGACCAGTACCTGCAATGCAGAACGTGTTGCAAGTGTGAAAATTGATACTACAGGTACAAAGCATCAGGCCCTACTGCAAAAAGACAACTTGTATTGATTTGGTCTTCATTTCTTGAGAAATCAATTTAACAGCTTGTAGAATGGAGAAAGAAGGGAAGTAAAATGAATTTAGAGAAAAAAAACTTTGTAAAAAATTAAAACATACGGTGCTTTTGGGCAATATGAAAGGGGTGAAATTTCCAAAAACGATACATCCCTTTACTATGCAATGGCTATAAACATAAGAGTGCTATAAAATATTTGCTATAAGTTTATTACACTGCTGGAATGTTTTGAATATTGGCTGCACTTTAAACTGCAGTCAAACATGATTTAAAATCACACAAGAAATGTAAAATCTGCAAGATTTTAATCTGCATTGATGCAAGTGATTTTAACACTGCTTAAATCTATAATACTTATTTAAAACAGATAACTGTGTAGGATTTCACAGTCGCCACAGGGCCAAGTCTCCTTAAACTGGAACTTGTAGTTTGATCCCTGTGAAATGCTACATACTGAAATTCCTTAATACACTTACTTTCTGCAGTCTTGATAGCAAGATTTCTCCACAACTTTTTCTTAACTTGAGAGGTCCAAAGGATTCGGACCGAGCTATCGTAGTTTTCTTTTTGGGAGTTAGTTCATGGTTGTTAATATTACAGGTCTCCTCGGCCATTATTTCATACTTCCTGCTATTTCACACTTAAACGTACATAAACAATACATTCCATTACACAGTGTCAATGAGAGTGTCCTTCCTCAGTTGTCCGACCAGACGATGTGGACATCCCCCACGCTAGTCCCTGTCCATTCCCCCTCACCGAGGATCAGGGTTATCTAAATGACTCCACTAACTCCCCACGAATCCAGGGATAATCCCAATTCAATTCTCGTAAAGTACTTGAATTACATGTAAACTCACTCAAGTACTTCCTATG